AACTTCGAATAATTTAAAAAAAAATTCCAATTAAAATTTAAAAAAAAATCAAATTCGACAAAATTGTTAATTAAAAGTATGAAAAATTAAGATTTTTAAAGACTTTAATTTGAAACCTTCTCAAAATTCAATTATTTCTAGAAATTCATGCTACTATGCTTTTACTATTCTGTTATTATAAAATTTTAACTAAAATTCTTTTTTTAAAGCAATTTTTATTAGAAAATTCCACGAGAATTCAATTATTTAAAATTTAAATACAAAAATAAATAATTTATTCAATAATTGAATCTTTCTCATAAAGAATATTATCAATTTTATTGAAAATAATTGAATTCTTTCGTCGAATTTTAATAACATTTTTAAGAATTATAAAAATAATTGACATTTTGACGAGAATTTTTTTTATATTTTTGAATATAATTGAATTTCTGCGAAGAATTTTATTATTTTTGAAAAAAAATTGAATTCTTTTGGAAAAATTTTATCAAAGTAGTAGATATTGAAAATCAATTAATTGAAAAATTTTTTTTTGAAAATAATTAAAATTCAGAGAAGAATTTCATTATTTATAAAGATAATTGAAAGTTTGATGAGAATTTTTAAAAAAATTTTAACCTAAATTGAATTTTTGCGAAGAATTTAATTACTTTTGAAAATAATTGAATTTTTGCAATAAATAATAATAATTAATAATAATATGAGTTATATAATAATAAATAATAATAATTATAATAATTAATAATAATAATTTGTAACTTCAATTTTTTTATTATTATGTTTTATAATAAATAATAATATTCTTCTCAATTCAATTTTCTTCAATTTTTTTTAGTGTTTTTAACTAAAATTCTTCAATAAATCGATTATTTTTAATAATTAATTAATTAAATACATGTTAAAAAATTTAAATAATTTTTGAAGAATTTAGATTATTATAATTTTCCAGCATAAAAAATATTTTTGTCTTCTAATTGTCGATCATAATTATTGTACACCCCATCCACGTATTTTTTTTAAATATTCTGAAAACATTTACCAAAAAAAAAATTGTTCCTTCATTTGAAAACGTCTTTCAGAACTTGATTCAATCATAAAAATGCTCCTAATTATTAATTATCATTATTTTTTTATTATTCAGTAGAGAAATACCGTAATTATTTGATTTGTAAGGATGGATAGTTTTAATAATTACTGCCCTAATTTTTTAAATTATTTTTTTATTACTCATTTGATTTGTACGGATGAATAGTTTTAATAATTAGTGCACTAATTATTAAAACCATCCATCCTTACAAATAAAATAACAACTGTATTTCTTAACTTAATAATAAAAAAAAACAATGAGGCTAATAAATAATCATCAATTTATTTATTATTTTAATAATCAATTTATCAGAAATTATTTTCTCGTCATCACGAATAGAGAAAAAAAAGAAGAGAAATAATTGAAAGAAGAACATTTTATGAATATGTGGGAATGACAAATTTAATTAGCATACGCAATGGAAAAATTGTAAGTGACCTATGTCGTCGATATTCATTGTTGGCCAGATGATTGTTGGCTAAACTCATTGAAAAAAAGAGGACAAACCTCTATTACCATGAATATTAATGATTGTCGAGAGAAGACACAATATATAAATGCATCATCAACTAATAATAAAGATATTACTTTGCATGTTAAAGAAAATAAAGGAATTATGACATAGAAAAAAAATTTTTTTTCTTTTTTGCAAACAATAATCGGGTGGATCATTGACTCGCCTTGAACCTCTTAATAACTCATTTTACCGTAAAGCGAAAACATGAAAAATTTCTTACATGATATTCATTTGATTGTGACACGAATTGAAGATGTTTTGTAAACGAACGGAAATTCTAAACTATACTAAATTAAATTATACAATTAAATTATACTTCCAAGTAAATTGTACAATTAAATTGTACTTCCAAGTGAAACTTTGAATTATAAATTTATATAATAAATAAATTTTTATTTATTTTTTTAAATTTTTATTTATTTTTTTTATATATCTTTATTCATAAATTTTTATTTATAAATTTTAATTTATAATTCTACAATTAAATTCTACTTCTTAGTAAATTATACTCCAAAAAATGATTATTATTTACAATTATACAGTATATGATAAAAATTAAAAATTATATAAAAATTAACAATATGAAAAAGAAATCCACTAAAAGTCGTACTCACAATATCGATGAATAAAGAATAGATACATTTTTCTCTCATCAAGAATTTTTTCCGTTGTAGGAGGAAAAGGAAATATTGATACGAATTTAAAAAGATGTATTAATCGTCTTTTTTGTTGAATCTTTCTCTCGAGATTAATTCCAATTAGCAGAAAACTTTTGATTTTTCATGAAATTCATGTTTCAAGTTGGAGAGTTTATAGAAAAATATTGTTAAACCTCTTTTAATTAGGCTTTCAATTATTATTTAATGATAGTTGACTTAGGTAAAAGTTAATAGACTATTACCTCGTTTCATTATATATGAGGCAAAATGTATGATTATGTTTTTAATGCATAGATTTTTCAAGTTATTTTATTTATTAATTATTGTTCTCGTTATTAATTATTATATTTTTTATTCATTTTATATTTCATTATTATATTTTTATTATTATTATATTTCATTATGTTTTTATTATATTTTTATTATTACTATCGCAATTTTTCTCTAGATATTTTTTACAGTTGTAAACAATATTAATCTTTGTAATATTTATAATTGAGTACTAATAATTATTAATTAATTTCAGCGTTTGTAATAATTGCAAAAGTAGTAAATAAATAAATAAAAAAAATTTTTCCAACGCGGAAAATAATGAATAAAAATAAAAAATATCGGGTCTAATTATAAGGAAACAATAATGCGAGCAATAATTCGAGCAATGTCGAAAGTTTCCGTTATTTTTTTGAGAGAAAAAATGCACATTTGCCTACGCTTGTAAAACTTGTTAATCTTGTAAAACTTGTAAATCTTTTAGATCTCATTTAATCTTGACACAATGTTGGAGGACGGAATAGAAAAATAATTATTTTTTTTCCCTTTTTTTTTAACACGGAGGAACACGTGATAAGTCAATCGAGAGGTCGATATATACAAGGCGATAAATTACGAGAGTACAATCTCGACCCCGCAAATTGCTGATCGGTGTGTTGTGTCCGACCATAATTGGTTGCCGTGAAATACCGCTGACAACCCTTTATTTAACAACTCCATCGGACAAATTTTCTCAAAACATTGTTTACAAAAGTGTAGAAATAGGGAAAAATCATAATGTCAATAATTATCCTAATTTTTTAATCCAACCGATAATAGTTATTCGAGAATTTATAGAAGAGATTTTTTCAGTCTGAACTATTTTTTTTCAATCGCTATTCATTCAATTTCTCATTACTTTTCCTCTGAAAATGGTAGTTTTTTTTATAATAGAAAATAAAATAAATTTACAATATTTAAAACAATATTTTAATATTTACAATTTTACATAATTAAAATTATTTTTGATTACTGAAATTATTGATTTAAATTAGAATTTAATTCAATAAAAACTATTTGATTCAATTAAATATTTATTTATTATTAATTATAATTAATAACTATTCGATTTACTAATTGTGATTAAATGTCACTTTATTAATTATTAAATTATAATTATAATTAATAAGTACAATAAATATTTTTAATATTCTATTTATTAACTATAATTAAAAGTATTTCATTTATTAATTGTGATTCAAAAATACACTTCATTTAATATATTTATTAATTATAAATTATAATAATTAATAATTATACCAAATTAATGAAAGTAAAGTGTATTTTTTAATTGCAATTAAAAAGTGGGAATATTGATTAATTATCGTACATTTTATTAATGATAATAATTGTAACGAATAAATATTTACTAAAGTTCATTTTATGATTACAAATTACTAAATGCAATATTTATTACTTATTGTACTTATTAATTAAAATAATTATAATTGATAAATTAATAAATAATTAATAAAGTTTTTTTTAATTGCAATTAATAAATGGAATATTTATGAGTATTTAAAAAATTTAAGAAATCTATTTTTCAAATACAATTAAATAATAAACTGTATTAAATACTTATTAATTATAATTATTAATAAATTAATTGTAATTATTAATTATAATTTTTGTGATTATTCTAATTAAATTTATTAAATACAATAATAATCTGAAGTACTTATTAATTTAACAACTTGTCAAAAAAATTTTGATATAAAATTATAATTATTGTAATTATTAATTGTAGTTATTGCAATTATTCTTAATTAATAATAATAATAATTATTATTTTTTTTCACAATAGTGAAATACAGTGAATTATAACCCGACGACGATACTAATAAACGTAATTAAAATCGGAAGATAATATTACTAATTATTGTCATTGCAACAAATTGAACAATGAATTATTATTATTTATCTCAATTTATTATTTTGCGTCTAATTTCTAATGACAGTGAAATGAAATAAATAATGAAATGATGATGATGAAAATAATACTTTTCTTTGGCACGCAGATATATTTGTTGATCATAAAATAACACATGCTTTGAAATCATAAGAAACATGTTGATTTAATTAGTTGTTCCTCATACTAATTGGCAGTGAAAGATTTCTTAGTTTAATTGCAACTGTCACTCGTAGGCAGTTCCGTGAAACAGGTCATTAAATTAACATCGCATTCCAAATTTTTTTTTTTTCTGTTTTTGTTGCTCGTAGAAACAAATATTACAATTTATTTTACTCTTTACTTGAAGAATTTGCATTAATTTCTCATTAGTTCCAATAAACTTGTGTGAAATTTTGTGTAGAAAAAAAAAGCTAAAAACGAGTTAATCAATTTTAAATAAACAATAAATCGAATTCAGTAAATAATTATCCATTATTTCTTAATTAGAAAATAATACGAATATTTTATTTGTTTCAGATGTGGAACTTGACTCGAAACACTTGTCTGCATATGAGGTGAGAATTTTTATGGTGGTTTCTTCATTTTAATTTTCTTTTTTCTATTCATTTTTTACTTTTATCATTTTTTTTTAGAGATTTATTCAGTTTTTTCAATTTTGCATTTTTTTCACGTTCCTGGAATATTCCTTTGCTCTATAAATTTTAATTAGTAAAAATATTTACTAATTTGAATAAGTGATTGACTTTTTGTTTTTGAATTAGTAAATTTCACTACCAAATAGTAATTTTTTTTACTAATTTATTAATAAATTTTACTACTAAATAGTAATTTTTACTAATTTATTAGTAAAATTTACTGATTCAAAAGCAAAAAGTCAGACACTAATTTTATTCAAACTAGTAGACATTTTTACTAATTCAAATTCAGAGAGTGGAATATTATAGGAATATTTCAACGGAATGTTAATTATTATATTTACAAATTTTTCAGTTCAGAATAAATTGATAATAAATTTAAAACAATAGCACGGAATATTCTATTCATATTTCTGGAATATTTTATTGGAACATAAGGAATATTCTTTTGAAATATTCTATTAGAATTTAGAAATATTAAAATGTTCGATCTTTGGAATTTTCTAAACAATAATTCAGAGGAATATTCCCAATGATCCAATAATGGAATATTCCAGCTATGTGAATGGAATATTCCGTATTATTGGAGTATTTGAATGGCACGAAAATTCCAATGGAATATTTCTACAATTTTTTGATGGAATATTCCTATGTTATTTAGAAGGAACATTCCAAAGTTCAGATATTCCGAAAATATAGATAAAATATTCCAGACGAATATTCCAAGAGTCTGAATGGAATATTCCGTGATATTGAGGTTTAAAAACCGAAAAATAAAAATAAAATAAACTCCAAATTATTATTGCAATTTATAATTATAATTGTGGTTTAAAATTTCTACAATTAAAATTCTTACAAAACGAAAAGTAATTATTTACTCTTATTACTAAAACTTTGAATTCGGACCAAAACAATTATTTTCATCGAACCTTGAAGATTTCACCTAACAAAAGTGAAATTTAATCTTGAATTTAATTTACCTAATGAATTTTTTTTTCACCTAAAAATTAAAACTTACATAAAGGTAAAATTTCACTCATATATTTACCATGAAATACTATATTCTATTTTTTTAAAAAAATCTAATCTAATCAAACAAGATAGTCTCCTCTTTTTTCTCAACATTTTGAACTAGTTGTTATATATAAGTAACAAAATATCGATACATTAATCAATCTATAAAAAAAAATAATTGCACTTTGAGTCACGACGGATTGTTCAGAATTTGACTTCTGCTGCTTTCTCCTGTATAAACGATTGTCGTCTCTCAAGTGAGTGAAAGATGTCTTATCGTTGCAGAGGATCAAAAAGTGAAAGAGACGTTATAATCGGGTGATTGCATTTTAAAGGGAGATTAGTCTTGCAAAGTTATTTCTTTGTTTTATTTTATTTTATTTTTTTTTTTTTTTGCAATAAAAGGTGCATTAAATTGTTCACATTTATAATGTGATGAAGTTTATTATTAAGAGAATCGTGTTCTCGCATTTGCCGGTCTATTAGGATCTTTAAAGTGTTTTGACGAGGGAGAGTATAAATTATATTCGAATTAAGGGCAATCACAATGAGTGTATAATTGAGTTTAAAGATTGAAGAATAAAAGGAGTTCTTTCTCAATTATCAGTGTGTATATACATTTGAATGAAATCATCATCTGATGAAGAAAAAAAATTCAAATTGTGACACGCGAAATTTAAATTCGATCTTTAGAATTTTTACACTGTAATAAAAAAAAATTTTCGAATTAGAACAAAGGCTTTTCGAATCAATTAATAATAATTATAATATAATAATAATTAATTCAAAAATTGTTGTAATTTTGACAATTTTTATCTTACAGTGCAAAATCTTTAAGAATTTTTGTAACCTTTAGGATTTATTGAGTTGGAAAAATATTTATTTATAGAAATGCTGAATTCGAAAAAATTGACTTCCTCCTTTAGAATACCAGCTCATCGATCGTGGGATACTGAACTATTGCATTGATCGACAAGCAGCGATCGATCATTTCATGACAATTTAATAGAAGGATTGGTCAAGCGCATTGTTCTAAATCCGAACGAATTAGATTTAGTAATGTTGCACTTTATTCGGATTGGATGAAATAGTCTCTAATGAAATGCACTTTATTAGCCTTCTTAATGATATGGCGATTTTTTAATTTCTAACAATAATTACCGTCTAAATCTAAATGAAAGAAAATTAAGCCACTTAATCACTTTAGTAATACTTTGTAAGAATTTTTAGTTATTTTTTGCTAAAAAAATTTAGAAAAAAAGAAATTTTATTTATTGAAGAAAATAATAATAATATTAATAACAATATTAATAATTAAAAATTAATTATTAATAAGAATAATAATAATTACAAATTAATTGTTAATTACAAATTTTTAACTACTAAACAAAAGAATAATAACAAATTTACAATCATATAAGAAGGTGATTAATAATTTAAAAATTAGTTATTAATTAAATTAAATGTATTTATTTCACAGTCAACTAACATTATAATTTATTTCAAATAAAAATTTGTAGACAAATTTATATTTAATTAATTTATGATGGTAATTGCGATTAACTCTGAATTTAAATTAGTAAAAATATTTACTAATTTAAATCACTGACTAACTTTTTGCTTTTTGAATTAGCAAATCTTACTAATAAATAGTAATTTCTACTAATTTATTAATAGAATTAACTAATAAATAATAATTTCTACTAATTTATTAGTAGAATTAACTAATAAATAGTAATTTCTACTAATTTATTAGTAGAATTAACTAATAAATAGTAATTTCTTCTAATTTATTAGTAAATTTACTAATAAATAGTAATTTCTACTAATTTATTAGTAAATTTCGACTAATAGTAATTTCGTCTAAATTCTTATAGTAAAATTTACTAATAAATAGTAATTTCTACTAACTTATTATTAAAATTTACAAATTCTAGGGATCACAGTGATTTTTTCATGTAATATTAGGTAAAAAAGGGGATTTTATTTTCCAAAAAGGCGATTCACTTTAAAAAAAGAGGAATTTCCAAAATATAGTAAAACTTATTGTATTAGAATAACGCATAAAATTTGTTTAAATTATTTTTTACTTTTCCTCTTAACAACAGTTTATTAAAATCAAATTTTTTTTTCTTGTTAACCATTTTTTTTTGTTAATTATTAACATTTTTTTTATCTCTCTTTGTAGTCTGTAACTTTTTTAAAATTTTTAATCAAAATTTTCATTACAACGCTATTTTTATTTTAAAATTCTATTAAATAAATAAATATTTTTTATTTATTTGTCGAAATAAATTTTAATATGAACGAAGTAAATTTCTTTAAAAATTATTAAAATTAACTTTTGTGTTGGAAAATTTCTTTAAAAATAGTAAAAGTTTATATTAAATATTGTATTATTTCTAGTTACTTTGACTATTTATTTTCGAGGACAATTTTTTAAAAAGATTAGAAAAATTTACTTCAAAAATAGTACATAGAATTTACTCAGAAAGGGGATTTTGTATAATTTTCATGTAAAAAAATTAACGTCTTGAAAATAGTAAATTTTGCTATTGAAAATCGTTATTTCGAGAGTAAATTTTATGATGAAAATTAGTAAAAAATACTTTGAATTTTCTGTTTCGTGAATTTTGAATGCACCACTTTTATCCTATTAATATAAAAATATTTAGTAGCTAATTATTATATATTTAAATAGTTAATAGCAAAATTGTTAAATAGTTACATTTTTAAATAGTTAAATGGATAAATTTTTAAATTGTTGAAAACTATTGATCAATTTAATTTATGTAATTAAATAGTTAAATTATTCAATTGTTAAATAATCAAATAATTAAAGAGTTAAAGAGTTAAATATTTACTTGCTAATTATTAAATATTTAAAAATTTAAATAGTTAGATAACTAAATTGTTAAATAGTTAAAGAGTTAAATAATTAGATAGTTAAATTGATAAATTTAAGTTAACTTGTTAAATATTTAACAATTATACTTTCAAAACTAAATAGTTAAATTAATTAATATTTAAATAGTTTAAAATCAAAGTAATTTTTTTCAGTATAACTATTTAATTAACTAAAATTTTAACTACTTTTAGTTAATTAATTCAATTTAATTTGGAACTATTGTACTATTTAATTTACAATTTAAATAATTAAATAGTATAATATTTACATGGTAAAAAAGTAAAATAGTTAAACAGCAAAATGGTAAAATAGTAAATTAGTTAAATAGCAAAGCAGTAAAATAGTAAAACTTTTGAAACTGAATCGCCATTTTGGAAAATAAAATCTCCTTTTTTACCTAATATTACATGAAAAAAATCACTGTGATCCCTGGAATTAGTAAATTTTAATAATAAATTAGGAGAAATTACTATTTATTAGTAAATTTTACTAATAAATTAGACAAAATTTTTACTTTAATTTTAAAATAACTATACACGGAGAAATTTTCTTTCAAATCGTCTGAAAGATGCGACATTTTGATATAACGAAAAAAAAATGGTGCATTCAAAATTCATGAAATCTACGTGGGTTTAAATAAATATATGTATATATAGGTACACAAAACAGCGGAGTCTGTGCAGAACATATTAAACGCGAAGCGCATATGTTGAATCAATTGCAACACATGAGCTGCAGACACGCCTAGCATTGTTACGAATATGTCAGGTCAGCAACAGAGTAACAGGAGTGTATCGTCGACCTCCGCAACGCGCAATTCCTCACTCCTGTATTTAAATCAATCCCACAAGGTATGACCCATTGTGAAATTACTTTCGTCTACCCGAATAAATTTATACATCAACAAAAAAAATATCACAACTCGAGATGATTCGAATTTTTCCAAAAATTAAATTTTGTAATCCCCCCTCTACTTTTCCAATCTCCTTCTATATATTATAATGCAAATGAACTTCAATTTCACCGTTACAACAACAAATAAATAATAGAATATTTTACTGTCCCACCCGCTGTTAAATATTATACACAAAATATTATTAATACCAAACATTAGGCAATCGAGAGACAATAAAAACTAATTATAATTACACAATATTCAATTTGCATTCGTGACTAAAGAAAATAATTTTCCCTGAAAAAAATATGAATGAAGAAAAAAATAGTGGGAACTATTATTACAATAATTAAAATCATTCATGGTCCTTTACGTAACGAAAAATCATAATATTTATTTTAAGTTTACCTCATAAATAATTAGTACTTCATGATAGTTAATTTTCACTCGATTTTCAAGTTTCAAGAGGTTAAAATTTACAAACAAAAATAAATAACATTTAAGTACTTAACAATTTTTTTCATTTCTTTTAAAAATAAATTCAATACATACGATAACAAATTTTATCGTATGTTTAAATCGGAAATTTTGATCTCAGCTATATAAAAGAGACTTGCTTGGGGTTTTTGATTGACAGTAATAAATGCTGAATCGATTGTTAGAAAATGTGTATTGGCGCCTTTCGAATAGAAAAATTTCGATCTCGTTATGTGCAGTAACCTGCTACTCGAATTCAATTCAACTTGATAGATGGAAATCACCGACAAACAGTGGTAACAGTTCAAGCGATGCAAATCACTCACAGCTTATTGAATATCATTTTATCAAATCGCGAGACGAGAGGAGAAAAAAAATTCCATTCACCTTTTATCCATTGAACCTCATTTCAAAAAGGTCTTTCTTAATTAATTCTCCTTTATAAATTACGAAATTGAATATTTTGCGCGTACTTGGGGGCAAATTAAGTAATCTTTTGATAATTGTACTTGGAATTTTTTTAAAACTATTCTTAAATATTTGAAAATTAAACAATTTGACTATTTATTTTGGTTATTTGATAAATAAAAAATTTAACTCTTTAATTATCATTCTAAAAAAACTACTTTTTACTTATTTATTTTAAGTAATTAAATAGTTAAAGAATTAAATAGTCAATAACTAAAAAATTTAACTCTTTAATTATCATTCTAAAAAAACTACTATTTACTTATTTATTTTAAGTAATTAAATAGTTAAAGAATTAAATAGTCAATAACTAAATTCTTAAATAGTTAAATAGTAAAGTTTTTACTATTTAAATAGTTATACTGACAGATCTACTTTGATTTTGAACTATTTAACTATTTAAATTAAATAATTCTTAAATTTTGCAGGATTATTGCAGTCATTAATACCTAAACTCTGACACAAGGATTTTCAAAAATATCTACAAAATTTTTTTTATACAATTTTTTTAAAATTCAGAAAAATTTTTTTTTTGTATTTTTTGAAATAATTTTTTTAATTGTTAATATTTTCATTAATTATTCTCAAAATTAAATTCCTGACAAGAAAACGAATCGATTGATGTATACAAAGTATATATTTTATCAAAATTTATAAAATTAATAAATATTTTTCTTTTTCACAAAAAATTCAAATTTTGTATTATTTTCATAATTTATTTAATATTAATATTAATATTTTTAAATGATTATTCTATCATAAAAAAGAAACAATTGGCAAATGAAAGTGTAAATTTCAACAAATATTTATATAACAACTTATAAATGATTTATATAATTTTATTTTTAACAAATCTTCTAGACGAACCCTTTTGTACATAGTTTTTCAAAAGTTTGCTAAATGGAAATGAAATGAACAACTTGTTTAAGTAGTAGCACCCTCACCCGTACGCTATCAGACAATCGAAATTTTGTGAAATCGTCAAAAAAAATTCATTTCTTCTAAATTTAGTAATTCTAATCATCTGAAAATTACCTGAGTTCTAGTAGGGACTGAACACTACACAATCTTGAAGAATAGAGAATTTTATTTCAATTTTTAAATAGTAGCAGGTCCACCCGTACGCTATCAGACAATCGAAATTTTGTGAAATCGTTAAAAAAAATTCATTTTTTCCGAATTTAGTAATTCTAATCATCTGAAAATTACCTGAGTTCTAGTAGGGACTGAACACTACACAATCTTGAAGAATAGAGAATTTTATTTTGATTCTTAATTAGTAGCACCCTCACCCGAACGCTATCAGACAATCGAAATTTTGTGAAATCGTCAAAAAAATTCATTTCTTCTAAATTTAGTAATTTTAATCATCTGAAAATTACCTGAGTTCTAGTAGGGACTGAACACTACACAATCTTGAAGAATAGAGAATTTTATTTCAATTTTTAAATAGTAGCAGGTCCACCCGTACGCTATCAGATAATCGAAATTTTGTGAAATCGTCAAAAAAAATTAATTTCTTCTAAATTTAGTAATTCTAATCATCTGAAAATTACCTGAGTTCTAGTAGGGACTGAACACTACACAATCTTGAAGAATAGAGAATTTTATTTCAATTTTTAAATAGTAGCAGGTCCACCCGTACGCTATCAGATAATCGAAATTTTGTGAAATCGTCAAAAAAAATTCATTTCTTCTAAATTTAGTAATTCTAATCATCTGAAAATTACCTGAGTTCTAGTAGGGACTGAACACTACACAATCTTGAAGAATAGAGAATTTTATTTCAATTTTTAAATAGTAGCAGGTCCACCCGTACGCTATCAGATAATCGAAATTTTGTGAAATCGTCAAAAAAAATTCATTTCTTCTAAATTTAGTAATTCTAATCATCTGAAAATTACCTGAGTTCTAGTAGGGACTGAAGACTACACAATCTTGAAGAATAGAGAATTTTATTTTGATCTTTAAGTAGTAGCAGGTCCACCCGTACGCTATCAGACAATCGAAATTTTGTGAAATCGGCAAAAAAAATTCATTTTTTCCAAATTTAGTAATTCTAATCATCTGAAAATTACCTGAGTTCTAGTAGGGACTGAACACTACACAATCTTGAAGAATTGAGAATTTTATTTTGATTTTTAAGTAGTAGCACCCTCACCCGTACGCTATCAGACAATCGAAATTTTGTGAAATCGTCAAAAAAAATTCATTTTTTCCAAATTTAGTAATTCTAATCATCTGAAAATTACCTGAGTTCTAGTAGGGACTGAACACTACACAATCTTGAAGAATAGAGAATTTTATTTTGATTTTTAAGTAGTAGCACGTCCACCCATACGCTATCAGACAATCAACCATAACTAAATTTTTAAATAGGAAATAGTTGAATGGATAAATTCTTAAGTTTCTAAATTGGTAATAATTTAAATAGTTAAAGAATTATAAATTAATTTTTTCACATTGTTAAATAGGTAAAAAGTTAAATAGTTAGTTAGCTAAATTGTTAAATAGTTAAATTGTTAAATATTTAAATATTTTAATATTCAAATAACTAAATATTTAAATTGTTAAGTATAAAAATTGTTAAATATTTATAGCTAAATAGTTAACTTTATTAAGTATTTAAAAATATTATTTTCAAAACTAAATAGTTACATTAGGTTAAATAGTTTAAAATTAAAGTACTTTTTGCCAGTATAATAATTTAATTTAAATAATTTAATTTAATTTGGAACTATTGAAATATTGTACTATTTAATTTACAATTTAAATAATTAAATATTAAAATAGTAAATAGCAAAATGGTATAATATTAAAGAATTTAAATAGCAAGGTAGTAAAATGGTAAAATAATAAAATTTTTAAATAGGAAATAGTTAATAGTTCAAGACAGTTGAAAAATTAAAAAAAATACTTTTTAACCATTCACCTGCTTAACTCATTAATTATTGAACAATTTGGCTAGTTAACAAATATTTAGCTAATATTTAGTTAATAGTTAACAATTATTATTCATTTACATTCAACCATTCCTTTTTTTATTAAAAAAAAAAGTTTGTCTTAAATTTCATTTACTTTTTTCTCGTAAAATGAAAATATTAAAAAAAAGTAACCGTTTCGTGATAATAAATTGCGTTTTATCAATTTGAAAAGCAAAGTCAATTTATCATAATTACGTTTGTTTGGAGGAGCGGACTACTACTAAGTACAACTGCAATTAATTATTATAATGTAAAAAAATGTGTATGAAATTTTCCTACGGAGATAACATTAAAAGAGGTGAAACTAAAGGTAAACTTTAACTATCTACCTTCACAGTAGATCGTTGCACGAAGATGCTTTAAATGTCAAGGCGAGGACACGGTGGTGTCAAAGATCCGCCGTCTATACAATAATCTCGATCCGCCTACGATCATTCCATTAAAGGATCGTTAATACGTAGTTTAACTTGATATTATAATCGCTTATTATAACAAAAAGGATATATTATTAACTCGATATCATCCATTGTCAATTATATCTATATCACATAATATATAAGAAGTATAAAGAGGTTCGATATTTATTTTTTCCATTCAGTTTAACATTCAATTCTAATATTCAATTCTAATATTTAATTTAAATATTTAATTCCAGTAATTGAATAATTAAAATAGCGAATTGAATCATTTTGAACTGTTTATAAAGCTGAAGTTCAGAACGTTCTTAAAAAGGAAAAGTTGTTCTTAACTGAACAGATGTTCAAAAATAACGTGGATTAGAATTAAGAATAAAAAAATCGCATTATTTTTTTGTTTTCGTTCTTAAAAACGTTGTGGACCTCAGCCTAATGTATAATAATTTCATAAAAACATTGTCCACTTCCAGAAAGTAAAGAAAAATATTTTTCTGTTTCAGGATTCAGTAGCTGCCGCCTCGGAAGTAGAAGAAGCCTACGACGACGGCGATGACTCCGACATGTTTATGGAACCAGACGAAATGGAACCAAGCGAATCTCAAACAACCCACGACAAGGAACCATCATCAATATCAAAACTAGATGATTCTGAAAAATTACCACCAGTAATAGAAGAAACATCCGACCCACTACCAACAACAATGCCCCCCAACGAAGAAGACAACACACCATCACAAATTCGCAACGGTCATCAGCAATCCAAGGAACAATTCCCAGCATCAGCCACAGTATTAAGCGTCAAATCAAACGAGCCTTCCGTCAGTGTAATAGCCACCGTCTCCCAAGAGAGTGACTACAACAAAAAAGGCGATGAAACCGAGAAGAATCTCGAAACCGACAGTCAAAATTTCTTCCCCTCATTCGCCGAATTATTCACCAATCATCGTCTCCCCTACACGGAGCACCAGCAACGCTACCGTCCCAATCGATTCCTCGGCTACTTCCAACGCGACCGAGGCAACTACCAAACCGCATCATCATCCTCCCAACAAAAAGAATCCCTCCACCCACTCCTCGGCTCGGGAAATTTCGGCGTCATTCGCGGTGGAACCTACTACCCTGAGGAAAAGGAAAACGATGAATACTCCATCGACGAATCAATCTACAATCCCTACTATCACGGTAGCGGTCGCAGTCGACACAATTACTACAAAAATCCCAAACCCCAACCAGTCCGTGGCGGTGATTTCTTTGCTAATTTCCGCGATTTCGCCGACATCACTGCACCACCAAAATCCAGCTTCTCCCATTTATCCGTTGTCTATGCGAATAAAAATGGCAGCAGTACAGCGAGAGTCAACGATCAGCCGCGAAATATTTTCGAAACTCTAAGAATGTTGGAGGAGGAGGAATTTAATGCATCGTCAGCAACAACAACAACAGAGCAACCACAAAAGAAATTAAGTCAGGGTAAACGAAAGTTGATGAAAATGAAAAAATATCAAGACGAAAAAGCCAGGAAGTCACGCATGACAGTGGAACCTCTTTTGGCTCTTAGTTGAATATTCGCGTTCGACGAATAGCATTTTCTATTTTTTTTTTTAATTAATTATTAAAGAAAAAAAACGAAAGTGTACAAATAAAGTGGGAACGCTTCGGGAAATTTTCCCAATAAAATATGAATCTGGCCATGAGATCAGAACCAAAGTCTGAGTAAAGCGTCGTCATTTTTGTTAAGAGAGATGTGACGAGATAATGAGATGGACCTAAGATTTAATAAAAAAAAAAACAAGTGAGAGACAATTATTTTCGTCGTGAATGAAAATTTTAGACATACCGGATGTAAAAATAGTTGAAAATCCTTCGATAACTTTTTGACACATTTTCTATTTTTAGAAATATCTGTATTTTTTCCACATACGCCGAAAATTAATTATTATTGTTACGAAAATATAAAAATTATATTTTGTACAAAAATTCTTTCCGTTGGAAATTCAGTTTCCAAATTACTTTTAATTTTCGAATTTATAATTTCCAAAACTTATAGGAAATTTGTAATTTTTTCCTTTATTTAAAAAAAAAATTTCAAGCAAAATTAGCAATTTTATAATTTATTTTGAAACAAAATAAAAATGTTGAGAAAAATTAGTAATTTTTAAATTTTAATTTAGAAGAATAGTAAAATTTTTAACATTTCATAAGAATTAGAATTATTCCCTTGATTTTAAAATATAAAAATTAAATTTCAAACAAAAAATAATCATTTTTAATTCAAAATTAAATAAGATTTCAGGCAAAATTTGTAATTTTTTTTTACTTGTGAAAACAAAAGAAAAGTAAAATTTTAAACAACATTTTAGTGCGTGTATATTAAATAACAAAATAAAAATTACTGATTTTTTCTTTTACTTAAAAAAATAAAATTTCAAAGTAAAATTTTAAACAATTTTCAGAAAACTTATTATTTTTCGTTATATTTTATAAAATAGAATGAAAATGAGATTTAAAGCAAAATTAGTACTTTTTATTTAAAATAAAATTTCTAGCAAAACTAAAAATTTTTTTTATTTAGAATTTATAATTTCCAAAATTGATTTAGAGGAATTTGGTAATCTTTTTTCTTTATTTTAAATTAAAAAAATAAACTTCAAGCAAAATTAGCAATTTTATAATTTAGTTTGAAACAAAATATAAATGTTGAGAAAAATTAGTAATTTTTAAATTTTAATATAGAGAATAGTAAAATTTTTAACATTTCATAAGAATCAGAATTTTTATTCCCTTTTTTTAAAATAAAATAAAAATTAAATTTCAAGCAAAAAATAATAATTTTTAATTGAAAATTAAATACCTAAAATTTCACACAAAAGTAATTTTTTTGTATTTTACATGTGAAAACAAAAGAAAAGTAAAATTTTAAACATTTTGGTACGTGTATATTAAATAACATAATAAAAATTACTGATTGTTTCTTTTATTTAAAAAAAAAAATAAAATTTTAAACAATTCAGAAAAATTATAATTTTCTGTTTTATTTTAAAATGAAATGAAATTTAAAGCAAACATAGTACTTTTTATTTTAAAATTAAATTTTTAGCAAAATTAAAAATTTTTAAACATTTTATCAAAAGTATTATTTTTTCTTATATTTTAAAATAGAATGAAAATGAAATTTAAAGCAATATTAGTAATTTTTATTTTCAAATAAAATCACAAGTAAAATTAACATTTTTTTACTAAAAGAATTAAATTAAACATTTCATAAAAATGACTATTTTTCGTTTAATTCAAAATAGAATTAAGGGAAATTTGAAGCAAAATTAGTAATTTTTTTAAATTACTGAACAAAAATAAAAAAATAAAAAATACTAAAATACTAAAATACTTTTAAAATACTGAACAAAAAGTAAAATTTTTAACATTTTAGTGCTTTGTATATTTAATAAAAAATAAACAATTACTATTTTTCATTTTAAAATGAAATAAAAATAAAATTGAAAGTAAAATTAATAATTTTTTTTAAGTTTTTAAAAATAAAATAGAGGCAAAATTTTCGTTTTAAATTAAAACAAAATTATTAGTAATTTAAAACATTTTCTAAAAAATTACTAATTTGGTTCTTTCATTTTAAAATTAAATAAAAAAAACAATTTTCAAACTAAACATAATTTCCTAAGCAAAAAATAGAAGAAATAAAGGAAAAAAAGAAACTATTAAAAACGGAAAGAAATTTTCAACCGGAAGAAATGTATTTTTGAAAAAAATGTATTTTCGAAAAAAATGTATTTTTGAAAAGAATGTATTTTTGAAAAGAAAGTATTTTTAAAAAAATTAAAATTTGAAAAGAGTATTTTTGAAAAAAAGTACTTTTAAAAAGAGAGTATTTTCGAAAAAATGTAATTTCAAAAAGAGTATTTTTGAAAAAAAAAATGTATTTTTTACCCTAGAAAAAATTCGAAGAAAAAAGACCATTTTCACGAAAAAAAAACTAAAAAACTTCTCCACGAAATTTTCACCTGCTCGTGAGATTTCCAATAAATAATCGCAAATTAACAAAAAATTAATTAAAAATTCCATCGAATTTTCAAAAATCACAATTATTATAAAAATTTTGAACACAACTTCAACTCCGGTTTGAATGTCACAACGACTTTCGTATTCTTGCGAAACGAGAATATAATATTCGAAGCTGAACTGTCACGTTAAACGAATGATTCGCAAAGTGAATGTTTATTCACTTGGGAAAATTCAAAGCAAATTGACCGAATAGCAACAGAATACATACATGATTTTTTTTTCTTTCTTTTTTTTTTAATGTAATGAAAAAAAAAGTTTGTCTCTCTCACTGACATTAAAACTAAGATGTGACAGAAACATACCTATATAGTGTTTGTGCGGAAAGAAAATAATAATATTAATAATAATTTTTAACTAAAAATCTTTCTATAGAATTATTATTTTTTGCAAACGGACTGAAGTAACTTTATATTCATTTATATATCTACGGAAATTTTTTTTCTGCAAAAAATTGATAATACTATATTTTAGTAGTTTTACTAATATAGTTTTTCAAAATCAAAAAAAAAAAATTAATTTCAAATAATAAAATTCGAAATTTCAGTAAAAATTTAAAAAAGGAAAATTATTGTAATAATTATTATAAAACAAGCGTTGAACGGAGGAATTTTAAAAAGTTCAAGCGCCACATTCTACGATTCATTTTTTCTACAAAATTTACGGTGAAGAAATAATTATCAAGATAGGAAATAGTAAATAATTTTTCAATTTTTTTTTTATTTTTACAACTAGAATTTTGTATTTTATTCGTACGGTTCGTTTTATTCTCGTATAGTTTTTTTTATCTAACTTTTTCATTTCTTATTTTTTTTCTTTTTTTTTTTATTATTACATCTTTTTTTCATTCAAATTTTTCATTTAGTTATCTTAAAGAAAAATTTGATTGAAAACTATCTATAATTATTTTTATAAGAAGGAAAAAAATTCCTTCTCGCAAGACAAATAAATTCCTAATTATTATTATTATTTAACTTCAATTTTTTCCCTTTCTTCACCGTTAATTTTGACAATATTGTTATTTTTATTTGTTGTTGATTATTGTAGCATTAGTTGTAGATTATTCGAAAATTGCGGTGCTATGAAAAGTGATTGGCATTTTCAGCACACAATAAATAAATATATTTTTATAAACCAGAAAAACAGAATTTTTCTTTCCTCTCTTTTTAGTAATTAAGATAAAAAAAAACAAAAACCCCTTTTTTTTCTTCAGCAAAAAGTTGCAAATTTTTTATCGATTAGCAAACAAAACAATTTTTTCTCTAGTAAAGAATTTCTAATTTCTACTCCAATTACGCTTTTAATTATTTCACATTTATTTTCAAAAGACAATAATTTTAACATTTTTTTTTTAAATTTATTTTTTTATAACAATTTTCTTATAACAATTTTCTTATAAAATTTTTTTTATAAAAATTTTCTTATAAAAATGTTCTTATTAAAATTTAACATGGAAAATTATTTAGAAATTTTACATAGAAAATTCTATAAAGATTTGACTATAAGTTTGACTTGGATAATTTTATAAAAGTTCGATTTGGAAAATTCTATGAATTAAAATATTTTACAATAGAAATTTGAATAGGAAAATTTTCGTAAAAATTCGACTTGAAAAAATTTACTTCATTGACTTTATCATTTTTGAAATCATTTTACCGATGCCGGAAAAAATTTCACAAGGAGTTGCTGGACCGTACAAACATGCAGGTGTACTATAGACATTGTATTTTTTGCAAAAGGTAACGCCATTCACATTTTTCTTTTCAACTTTAGCTCCCATTTTTTTTGCCTTCTGAATTGCTGCGCCAAATGGCCATTTTTCAGGAGGACCTAATAAATTGTGATATTTGTTTTTTTAGAGAAAAATTTTTAATTATAATTAAAAATAAATAAAATCCTCTAAATTTCCAATAAGTAAAAGAAAATTTCTTTTTCTAAATTTCATTCGATTTTAAAAAGTTTTTAAACATTTAAACATTTTTTTATGGTTAAAATTTAATCAGAGTTTAAAAATACCTTTTTTTTGGTCACTAACCTTCATTTCCCAAAGTTATTTTCACGCCTTCCAGAACTTTAGCAATTAGTATGGGGGAGATGCAGATTGCTCCAATTGGCTTCTTACAACAGCAAAAGTCTTCAATTATTTTTTGCACCTCGGGCAAAATAATGCAGTCACATCCATCGGAGGCAAAATTACTCCTGAAACAAAAACAAATAAAATTAAATAAAATGAATCGAATTTATTATTTTACTACATTTTTATTTATTTATTTATTATTTATTAACAAACAGAAATTATTAATTTTTTTACAAAGTTTTAATAGCACCGAGTCCTCCGGGAAAAATGATGCCCTCGACATTATGGGGTTTACATTCGGAAAGAGGTTTTATCGACGATCGTGAAATTCTCGCAGCTTCGATTAAAGCATTTCTCTTCTCATCGACAGCCTCGCCCGTATAATGATTAATAACTTCACAAAGATCTTTCTCAGGTGCATAAAATTCCGTCTTAAAACCCTTTTGACTGCAGTGAATTGCAACCGACACAGCTTCAGTCACTTCAGTACCATCAAGACTACCGCAACCACACAAGACCTGTGCTCGAATACAAAAAAAATTTTTTTTTTTCTTACAACAAAAATTAGTGAAGAAAGAGAAAAATGAGTGATGACAGAAAAAATGAGACATTAGGATAATATCGCCACATTATAGAGGAGGAAAGTGTCTATATGGAAAAAAAAGTGATTGTATCATAGCAAATTGAGAAGGGAAAGCTATATTATTCGATAAAACACATAAATATTGCCCGTTAACGAGGCAATGCTTACGAAGCAAAAATGTATATGTATACGATAATAAAAATAATGAGTATCTGCACCAATAGCCGTAATAAATAAAAAAAAAGAAAAGAAAAAGAAAAAAGCAGCAATTGCTCTTCTGGCATTACATAATATTGTCTCACGAGCAATTAAGATTGTATTGTAATTATAATCGTTTCAAAAACAGATAGTATTTCAATCATACATATTCCTCTAAGAGAAAGGTTTTCATTTCTAACACGTGCAAATCAACGACTGCAATAAATTGTCTTTCAAACAATTTTTTTTTCTTCTAATCATGCCTTTTAGCGGCATATTTTTATTGTCTTCCTTTTAATTAACATCAAAACTTTTAAGGCATATTTTACACTTTTCTCTTGTACATATTTACATTCATTACTTTATTGATTTATTCCCTTCCTCATTTTAACACAAGTTATTTTTCTAACTTTTTAATTATTAATTTTTTAACTATTAATTATTTATATTATTTATATTTTTTAAATTCTTTATCATCATTTTTAAAATTTTATATTTTTTGAAATTATTTTTTTATATCTTAAGAATATCGTTCAATTACAAATTTCAATACAATTACTATTTGTAATTACAATTACTACAAAGCTTCAAAATTATTTTCATCATTTTAATTTAACTATTATTTTCTACAATTTAAAACTAAAATTCTTCTTTAAATAAAATATTTTTAATAATTTTTGAAAAAATTCTTTGCTAATTTTCAAATCCGTTGGTTTACAATTCAAATTTTACGATTCAATTTTTATTATTTCTAAAAATTTACGCTATAATGCTATTAAAATTCAATTATTATCTTAAAATTTTAACTGAAATTCATTTTTAAATAAATTTTTATTTTTTAAATTCTACGAAAATTCAATTATTTAAATACAAAAATAAATAATTGAATGCTATTGAAAATATAATTCTCATAAAGAATTGTTACAACAAATTTTTAAATAATTAAAATTTATTGGAGAAATCAAAAATTTAAATAGAATTGTACCTATTAAAAATAAATTGAATTTTCGCTTAGTATTTTATTAAACCTTTAGAAAATTGTTTTCAACATAATTGAATAATTAATTGAATTCCTCAGAGAAATTTAATTAAAAATAATTGAATACATTCGAATAATTTTTCTATTTATAAAAAAAATTGAATTCTTGTTGTAGAATTCTTTAATTTATGAAAATAATTGAAATTTCGCAAAAGAATTAAACGCTGTTATTAAAATTTTTAGAAATCGTTTTTATTTTAATTCCATTCAAATTGTATTGAAAAGAATTGAATTTATGAGATTTTTATTAAAACCTTTGAAAATAAATTAAATAATTAAATTGCTGAGAAGAATTTTATTACACCTTTCAAATTAATTGAATTCTTTTAAAGAATTTTATTTAATTTTTGAAAATTATTAAATTTTTCCAAGGTATTTTATTAAAATTGAAATGAGAAGTAATTGATTTTCTGCTATCAATTGTATTATTTATGAAAATAATTAAATTCTTAAAAAGTATTTTATTTGAAATTTTAAAAAATTGAACATTGTTTCGTAGAATCTTATTAAAAGTTTTGAAAATAATTGAATCGCTTCCAAAAATGTTATTAAAACTTTTAAAATAATTGAATTTCTTTAAAGAATTTTATGCAATTTTTGAAAATTATTAAATTCATTAACGTTATTTTTTAAAAATTTTATTGAAAATTGCGAAGAATTTTATTAAAATTTTCAAATCTTATTTGAATTCTTTTGAAAAATTCAATTATAATTATATTAAAAATAATTGAATACTTGACAAAAATTTTGATAGTTATATAAAAATAATTGAATTCTTGTGCAAAATTCTTTAATTTCTGAAAATAATTAAAATATTGCTAAGAAATTTATAAAAAAATTTTAAATAATTGAATTGTTGTGAAATTTTTATTGTTTATGAAAGTAATTGAATTTTTTCGTAGAATTTTATCAAAATTTTTTTTAAATAATTGAATTCTATTGGAAAAGTTTATTAAAATATTAGATATTGAAAATCATTGAATTTCGAAGAAGAATTTGATTATTTACAAAAATAATTTAAATTTTGTCGAGAATTTAAAATAAAATTTAAAAAATAATTGAATTTCTGTGAAGAATTTTATTAATTTTGAAAATAAATTGAATTTTTGCAATCATTTGTAACTTCTCCAAAATTCAATTTTTAAAAAATTTTTTTTATAATTAAATTCTTCTATAAAACTATTAAATCCAATTGCAAATCGTAAAAAATATTTAATTTGTTTAAATTAATCAAACTTTTAAAGCGAAGTTCATAAAAATTTTACGAAAAATTAATTTGTCAATTTACCATTTATTATTAAAATTGAACATTTACTCTGAACGAATCTGTCAAAATTGAACTGCGTAAGAATATAAATATGTACACATTATAATACAGAGAAGAAGAAAAAATGATGAATGTTGCTGATGAGAAAATTGATGATCAATATCATTGAAGAAAATTAGAAATTAAAGGAACTGTAGTGAGAATATTATTAAGCATAATAATGACGTTAATAAGAAAGATTAATGACAAATTATGTGTGAGTTTAAAAATTATTCATGAATACGAGTAATGACCATTATTTTTCGTTTTAAGAATATGTCAATTATTCGTGAATAAGATAAATCACCTTTATTTTATTAATAATATATAAATTATAAATATATGAAAATAAAATGAAAAGAATACGGAATATAATTAATGAATAAAGATAAAACGATTATGTAAATTATTAAAAAATAAATTATAATTAAATACAAATTATATAAATCGTATAAATAAATAATTAAAAATAAATTATGTAAATTATATAAATAAGCTTTATTTAAAATTTAGTGACAAATAAATATAAATTATAATAATATTCCTGTTAAAGTGAAATTGAAATTAAAATTAAAATTAGAAAAGAAAAGATAAAATTTGAAAATTAAAATTCTTGTAATAATTAAACGGAAACGATCGTATTTACCACAGCTATTGATTTTGTATCCCCTTCGGAGGATTCTTTTTTCCCCATTTTTATTATATTACAAATACTTGTCGTGCGAAAATTAGTCCATGGTGACAAATACAATTTTTCTCCCTGCTGAATCATTGGTGTGAATTTTCTTAATAACATTTTCCTCGAGATGCTTTATTTTCACATCCAATGTCCAATTTGATATTATACGAAAGAAATTTTTTATTTTCCCAAACATTTGATTTAAATTTTGTTTATTCAATCAATTCGAAAGATTTAATGATTTTATCATACTTTATGGGTTATAAAAATGTCAATAACTTTCAGTTGTTTTCTTTGTTTTTTTTCGCAACATTTGAATTTCAACACCACAACTTCAGTATTTAAAAATATCTAAGGTGCGAGAATGGAAAAAAATTACCACCTTTTAATTACTCAATCGTAAACTAATTTAATTTATTGATTTTAATTTCGAAAACTATAATTTAATAATTGTTTACAACTTTTTCGAAAAATTAATTAACAAAGGCAAGGACTTTCGAGAATTGAAAGGGGATTCTCTTTCTCTCTTACTCTTATAGAGAAATACTAAATTTATTAATTTAAATATTAAAAAAATTGTTTTTTAATTAAAATATAATTATATTAAATAAATTTAATATTATATGTAATATTTTATCAAATAAAAAATTCAAGAATATGAAAAAATTAAGAATTTTCAAAAATTTATTAATTTAAATGAACGAAAACAATTTTCAAAATTTTCTTACCTGTCTCTGCTGAATATAGCCGGGCCATAAATGACGTCATATGGTCAATGACTTCCGAAAATTGGAAAAGGATTCACTTTCTCTCTCACTCTTCTTCTTTCTCTCACTCTTATAGAGAAATTCAAAATTTATTAATTTAAATATAAAAGAAAAAAATGTTTAATTAAAATATAGGTAATAATTATATTAAATAAATTTAATATTGTATATAATATTTTATGAAATAAAACATTCAAGAATATGGAAAAATTAATTTTTAGAAATTTATTATAATTTAAATAAAAAAAAATGTTCAAAATTTTCTCCCCTCTCTCATTATTTTTATAATTTCAATTCAATTATTATTTTCTAGAATTTTTAACTAAAAATCTTTAAATCAATCAACTATTTTTAATAATTTTCGAAAACGTTTTTTAAAAATTTTCAAATTTATTTGTTTACAATTCAATTATTCGTAAATTCTTCAACAAAATATATATTAGAAAATAAAAACTTGAAATAATTTCAAAAAAAATTTATTTGTAGGTACTTTTTCAAAAAAATTAATTCATCAGAATTGTTAGTTAAAAATATGAAAAATTCAGATTTTCAATATTAAATTATATCTTAAAATTTACGCTAAATTGCTTTTAATATTCAATTATTATCCACAATTTTAATTTATATCAATTTTTATTTATTAGAAAATTCTACTGAAATTCAATTATTTAAATACAAAAAAAAATTTATGGAATAATTGCATTTTTCTTAAAATTGAAATCTCATAAAAAAAATTGTTTTTAAATAATTGAATTTTTTGGAAAATTTTATTAAAATAATTGATACATACTTATACAAATTATTGAATTAAAAACAATTTTTGAAAATAATTGAATTTTTCCAATGAATATTGTTATTTATGAAAATAATTGACTTCCCCGAATGATTTTATTAATTATAAAAATAACTAAATCCCTGAAAAGAATTTTTAAATTTATGAAAATAATTAAATTACTACGAAGAATTTAATGTCAAATTTTAAAACATTCGATTTTTTCGAAATAATATAATATATGCAAATTCTATTTTCAATAATTGAATTCCTGTGAAATTTTTATTTGTTTGGAAAATAATGGAATGTTCGTGTAAAATATTTTCAAAATTTTAGTTTAATAATTGAATTCTTTTGGGAAATTTTATAAAAAATAGTAGAATATTAAAAATCATTGAATTAAGAAAATATTATTAATTAAATAAATTAATTAAATATTTCGAAATAAAAAAACTCTTTCCTTTGGAAAAATATTCTTTAAAATAATTTTTATATTTTTCATCTGAAAATGTTTTTTTATCCCACATGCACAAAAACGGCGCTTTCTGATAGCAGCCGACAGGGAGGAAAGACATTCATTTCTTCGACCGTATGAAAATGGCGGCCGTGTTCTCCCAAGGGCAAGAAAATTAGCTGTTCACATGCATTTTTCTTGCCCAAGGGAGAAATCGGCCGCCATTTTCATACAAATCGAACAAGTGAATGACTTTTACTCCCTGTCGTCTGCTATCTGAAATCGCCGCTTTTGTGCATTAGGAATAAAAAATATCGTAAGTAACACGAGAATAAAGGCAGCCAATTTCTTTACAATGATTTTTGTGACACTCGTTCCGGTCTCGGGGCGCCTACGGCGCCCTCGACCTCCACTCGTGTCACAAAAATCACCGTAAAAAAATGGCTGCCTTTCTCCTCTTGTTGCTTAATATACTATTTGAAATAGATTATTATTACTCAATTATTATTAAACGTAAATTGTCAATTTACAATCATTAAAAAATGTAAATTAATTAGAAATTAAAAAGTTCTTTAAATTAAAATATTTCAATTTTCAGAAAATGTTTTAAAGTAAAAAGTAGGTAAAAAATATTTTAAAAAGCAAAAATAATTAATTTTTTTTTACTCAATATTAATAAATTTTTGAAAATTTTGAATTTCTTCATAATAGTGAGAGAGAAAGAAAATCCTTTTCCAATTCTCGGAAGTTATTGACCATTTGACGTCATTTATGGCCCGGCTATATTCAGTAGAGAGAGGGGCGAAAATTTTGAAAATTATTTTCGTTTATTTAAAATAATAAATTTTTGAAAATTCTTAATTTTTCCATATTCTTGAATTTTTTATTTAACAAAATATTATATATAATATTTAATTTATTTAATATAATATTTTAATTAAAAATTTTTTTTTTTTATATTTAAATTGATAAATTTTGAATTTCTCTATAAGAGTGAGAGAGAAAGAGAATCCTTTTCCAATTCTCGGAAGTTATTGACCATTTGACGTCATTTATGGCCCGGCTATATTCAGTAGAGAGAGGGGAGAAAATTTTAAAAATTATTTTCGTTTATTTAAATTAATAAATTTTTGAAAATTCTTAATTTTTCCATATTCTTGAATTTTTTATTTGATAAAATATTATATATAATATCAAATGTATTTAATATAATTATATTGTAATTTAAAATTTTTTTTCTTTTATATTTAAATTAACAATTAATAAATTTTGAATTTCTCTGTAAGAGTGAGAGAGAAAGATAATCCCTTTTCAATTCTCGAAAGTCCTCGTCTTTGTGACGTCATTTATGGCCCGGCTATACTCAGTGGTGACAGGGGAGAAATTTTTGAAAATTGTCTGCCTGGCACGTACCCCTCCCCACTCCGTCTACACTATTCTCTCGACTCAACTCTTAGCAAAGTATAGAGAGAGGGGGGACAGTTTTCAAAATTTTAGGCCCGCTCAAAATTATTTCTGAATTTTCAGTACAGCCAGAGTTGGTCAAGTGAAAAGTTGTGTGTTATCGCGTAATGGATACGTTCAAGGAAGACTACCATCAAAGGAATTGGAGGGTACCACGTGTATAAGGATTAATTCAATTAATTAATTAATAATGAATTAAATTAAAATTAAAAAAATAAATTATTCAATTAGTTTTTTTTCTTTTTTTTTTCGGGAGTGTTAGCTACGGGAAGTGCGCGCGTCATCTTTTATTAAAACCGAAACGAATTTTAGGGAAAAGAATTTTTTCCGAATTTAATAGAAAATAATTTTACCCTTTTATAATAACGGGAGTGTTCGTAATATTTAAAACCGCGATCGTTTCTGTAATAAAAAGTGTCCTACCTTTTTTTGACACTTGGTTCGGGAGTGCTCGAAATATTTTTAAAACCGGGAGTGAGTGAGTGAGTGTTAATTTTTTTTTGTGCCCATGATGACATCGTACGAGTGCCGCTCCGGGATGGAGATCGGGTATAGGCTGAGACTGACCGCTGTAAGTCTAATAAATATCTTTAATTTCTTTTTTATTTTAATTAAATCATTTTTTAAAATTAATTTTTAAAAAAAATTTTTTCAATGTTAATAATTATTATCTGGTTATTGTTTCAGACTGGTGGGACAGGAAGGAGGATGCAGAGAAAGCATGGCCTCTACATAGCAACCCCGGTCTCCCCGCATAGAAGAGGGGCCACTGGGGGGCTGGTCCAGAAGAGGCGATGGTGCCATCGCTCCGTCGTGGGAATCCGCGACGGTGAGTGCTTTTTACTACCAACATAGCGACACAACCTGAAATGATTAATTTCTAAAATGATCTCCATTTCAGAAATTAATCTGTCAAAATTAGTAATTTTCATTTTATTCAATTATACAAACTTTTGGGTTTGTAAAATTAAACTTTTGAAACTTGCTATTTATTTCAGGATTACATTGTTCATTGTACTCTTTTCTGATTTTACTTTTTCAATCTTCTCTAATTGTATTATAAATTATATAGTAATTTCTATAAAAAAAATGTTTAGCCCTTTTTTTCTGTAGCTATTTGTCAATGTTAGCGTAAATAAGAAATGTAGGACTCTTAAGCTTTTTTATTTTTACATTTTTACAATGATTACATTTTTACATTCCCTTCAGGTTTAATAACCTTGGAATTTATTTTAATTAAAAAATTTTAAATACGAAACATTGATTTTGAGAAAAAGTAAAAATCCCTTCAGGTTTAATAACCTTGGAATTTATTTTAATTAGAAAATTTTAAATACGAAACATTGATTTTGAGAAAAAGTAAAAATATTGTTTTGGAGAAACTATTTTTTCAAGTATCTTTATTAAGTTAAATTAAAAAATTATAAAAAATTAATTGATTAAAAATGACAGTTCTAAATTAGGAAATTTATAAACTACATGCATTTCTTGAGTACAATGTGCAACACCTTGGTGACGGATACCCTCCCTCCTCTTTTGAGAAAATGAGAATATTTGAGCTCAGGTGACGGGTACCGTCCCGGGACGGTATCCCTAGGTTTGCACCGGGGCCACACACCTCC